GCTGTCTCTGGACACTCTGGACCTCTAAATACCTATAGCTGACTATACGCCAGCCTGGGGCCTAGAACCAGCCACACTGGCCTCGGCGATGCCACGGGAGCCCCCCAGGTCTGGACTTGGGTTTGCTGTCCTGGATTTATCTTTTCTCCTCTGTGCCCAGCAGTATGCTGAACAGACAGACTAAACCTGAATCCCCCACCTCAGGCCCACAACACATTCTGGGTAGGGAAAGAGTAGTTTGTAGTCTCTTGGAATCTCTCCCTGACTCTTGAGAGGTGGAGATTAGGGACAGAATTATTTACATTGGCTTGATTTTTCTCAACAAGGTCTTGGCAAAGAAAAGCAGGGTGTCTCCCCAACTCTTGGGATCTGGAAGAAGGACCCCTCCCACTGTCATGCTCTCTGCCTGTGGCTCCCACTCAGTTGGGCCCGGGCATGGGGTCTTCTTTGAGGTCTCCCAAGGGAGGGAGAGGAACAGCGGCCACTCCTCACTGGCCAACAGCATCTGCAGTCACCAGTGCACACACTTCCGTCAGCAGTCCTTGAGGGGCAGAGCTCTCTTTCTCTGGTGGAGCCAGGTCTGGCTGAGCATGGCTGCACTCACCAATGGTTTCACAGCGTTTGTGAGCATAAATGAGGGCCATGATGGAGCACAGGGACACATCTGGGTAATTCCGGATGCTCTCCAAGTTGCTGATGGCATCCTGGATACGCTCTGCAAAGAAAGCCCATGTCATTAGGTTCTTGAGCTCTAGGACCAGAGGGCAGGAGGCTCTGAGGCAGACATATGGGAGCCCTTATCAGGGCTGACCCAAGGCTTGGCACCACCTGGCTTCACCCAGAAGCAGAGGACTAACAACTGGTCCAAAAGGTCGCCAATGGCCCAACTTCCCCGAAAACGGAAGCTCTCTGAGGGGGCTGCTGGCACCAGGGCCCAGCCTGCCAAAGGCTCAAGGGCGTGGAGCCGAGAGATGTACCTGTAAGTACTCGCAGGGATACCTGTGAGGCTGGGATTTCTGGCTCAGCTCTGAACTGGCTGGGGGTCAGTTCTGAAGGACCACCTCAGGGCATTCTCAGCTAGCTGCTCAAGAGCCACCAATTACATTTAGGCCTCCATATCCACTGTTGTTGGCCATGGGCAGCTCAGCTGGCCCCCAGCCCATGACCACCTTCTGAATGTCAGCAAGTCAGCATGTCAGCACCTGCATGGGCCCCACTCCTCTCCCTGCTCCTGTACCACACCTGCCTGCACCCACACCTACCACTTCCTCCTTTTCCTGCACTTCTGTCTCTCAGCTTCCAAGCCTGGGATTAGTTCAATCACCATGCAGTCATCTCTCCACCCACTCATTTTACAGATAGGGAAACCGAGGTGCAGACCAGGGGTAATGAGCTCTCTGAGGTCACAACAGTCAACTAGCTGTGCATTACACCGGCTTCTGTGGATTAACCTGGGAAGCTAGGCGCTGAGTGTAAGACTGTTTCCATGGGAACATGGCTGCGGAATAAGTAGGCATCCACGTGGAGCCAGAGTGTCAGTGCTGGGGTGGTGCCCGGGGTCAGGAGGCCAACACTGATGAGTTCTTACCTTCCCTGAGGACTCCATAGGCTTTAAAGAACTGCAGCACGGGGTCATTGCTGAATTTCTCCAAGCCCACAGCCGCAGCCTGCTGCAGGTGGCGGAAGTACTTTTCCTGGCTGTAGTAAATGATCCCAGCCTGTGGCGAGGAAGACATAGTTGCAATAGCCCCAACCCCTTCTGTGTCTCTGTTCTGACCTGCTCCCTCCCTATTCCCCGCTCTTCCTCAGTGCTGCAAAGGGAAGGGAAAGAGAACGTTCAGGCCTCATCCCGCCCTTCACCAGCCCCAGAAGCAGCTCCATACAGTTTCCCCAGGAGGGAGTTTGGAGGTGTTTGTTCTGGGATCATCCACAGATTCTGGTTCAAATGCGGTGGAGACTCCAACTCAAGCTTTGTCTTAGGAAGGGAATAAGAGGAAAGAGCAAGAACTAATAATAATTATAATTACACCAATAATTAGAGCTACAAGATACTGTGGCCTAACCACCTGTTAGGAATTGTATCAAGGGCTTTACATCCATTATCTTATGCATTATCCTGTCTACATCCTTCACAGTAAAGGAAGCTGAAGCCCATGGATACTGTGGCTTGACAGAGATCATGCATAACAGACGCTGAGATTTCGAAGCAGAGTCTCACTTCCCCTAAGGTTTGTGGGTGCTGGGGTTGGGGATAGTTGTGGTTGGATTGGCCTTGTGGGCCATGTGAAAGGGCACAGATACCATCCTGAGAGTAATAGGAAGCAGTTGGAATGGTTTTAAGCAGGGGGAGGGATGTGTTCAGATGTGTTTTTGTAAAAACCGCTCTGGCTGCTGTGTGTCTGTGTGTGTGTTGTGGTGGTGGTGGTGGTAGTGGCAGTGGCAGCAGGGGGCACTGATGGTGAAGAGCGTTGAAGCAGAGAAACCAATGGGGAGGGAGACTGTCAGGTGCCCAGGGGAGAGACGGTGGTGATCCCTGGGCTAGGCGATAAAAAGGAGTAGGTGATCTCAGGAGACATTTAGGAGCTGACATTTCTTGCTGATAGGATCAGGAGACAGGCATGGGGAAGAGTTAAGTCTGGGGATCAAACGGTGTACCATCTACTGAGGTGGGGGACACAGAACAGTCACAAGCAAGGGAGGGGGAGATGACGGCAAGATGACGGAGAGGGGTTTTGGATGCATTGGTTTGGAGGAGCTCGAGGACAGGACTGGGGGGTGATGCTGATTTGGGGCTAAGGGTCACAGAGAGCATCAGAAAGGATGCACTCGCTAGGGAGAGTGAGGCGAGAAGGGGCCAGGACTGCCTGCAAAGACCAGGAACAGCGGAAGGCGGGTAAAGGGTACAGCAAGAGCGGTCAGAGAGGTGACAGGAGAGCAGCAGGGCGTGGGGGTCACCGGGCCAGGGGCGGAGAGTCCAGCAGGGAGCGGCCGGGCAGCGCCCGGACCACGCACCATAAGGCAGGAGTCATCGCCGCTCATCTCCGAGAGCCCGCGGCTCCGAGTCCGGGTCTAGTGGCGCGGCGCGAAGCCGGATTCCCCTTCACGGTCCTGGGCACGCCTCTCGCGGCCGGAAGGCGGAGGCGCGCGCGTCCTTGGCAACGGAGCAGCCCGCCGGTTGCTAAGGGCGTCAGAGTGAGGGGCGGGAGCAGCCGGGTGGCCACGTGACAAGGCGCTGGTAATCAAGCGCCGAGAGGGCGAGTCCCCGCCGGTGGCGCCGGGTCGGCCAGCTGGGTACCGGACACGGGCGCCGGAGGCGGGCCGCTGCCATGGGCCTGGGCGCCAGCACCGAGCAGCCCGCGGGCGGCGCCGAGGGTTTCCACCTTCACGGGGTGAGTCGCTCCGCGGCGCCGGTGACTTTGGCGGGGCGCCCGCACCGGGACGCCTGATCGCCAGCCGGAGGGCGGCAGCGGCGGGGTCCCGGCCGTAGTGCAGCTACCCGGGGGAGGGGGTGCCCCCTGCCCAGTGGGCGCCGCCTGCGGGAGGCAGCCCTGCGGCACCCGTGGACCCCCGCCGTCTGCGGCCGCGGTCGGCCCGGCGCCCGCCCCAAGTGCCAGCTCTGCAGGAAGCGGGAGCGTTTCCTGGTCGGGTTGGGCCAAGTCGTCCCGGAATGGCACTTTTCCCTGGTGAAGCTTGCACCAGGTCCAGTCGGGACTCATTTGTGTGCTTAGGTCACATTTATGATCGTTTGCTGGGTGCCACGCTCCGTGCTGGGCCCGGGGAGAGAGCCGGCAACGCCGAGACCCCGCGGCCCCCCACCTTGGATTTAGGGGTTCGGGGTAACCAAGTGGGCGCCAGCTGCGGGGGAGCCGGCCGGCGCGCGTCCCACCTCTCGTGGTTTCGGAGGAGCTTCCGGGGGTCGAGGACCAGTGCCAACCAGCCAGGGAAAGTGGGGAGCGGGAGAGCCAGGAGAATGCTGCATAAGGCACGGGGAGAACGTTTGCAGCAGGGGGAGGTACCCAGGGCGAAGCCTTACCGATAGGAGCAGTAAGGACGGGCTGAGAATGTCCTCTCGGTGTTGCTACAGGGAGGCCCCGACAAGCAGCCCTGGGGGAAGTGGAGACCGAGTGGGGTTCCTAGGGTCTGAGGTGAGGAGAGGGACCCCTAGCCTGGTGGAGATTTGGGGTCGAGATTTGTACTGCAGAGAAGGAGGGGCTGTAACGGAGGTGAGAGGCAGGAGGGTCTTTGACCCCCGGAGTGCAGCAGGGAGGGACCCTCTTTTCCCTGGTGCACAGTGGATGGCTGCAGAGATGGGTGTGGGTTTCTGTGTTGTGATGGCAGGCTCTGTTATCAACTACCAGGGGGGAGGGCTAAGGAAGGGGTTTCCTGAAAGGAAAGCCAGGTTGGCTTCAGGACCCAGAGTTGACAGGATTTGTGCCTAGCGATGTGCTTTCTCTAGTGGACATCATGGTGAGGTATCAGACAGAAAAGGTGGACAGTGGAATGCATCCAGCCAAGAGAGTCTTCCAACAGGTTTGGTGGAAGGCAAAGGAATTGAGGATATTGGCAAGAGGGAGGGGAGGGTGGGTGGGAGTGAAGATAGGAAGGGCCTATTGGACAGAGTGGAGAGATCAAGGGTTGGTAGGTCTTCATTCACAAAAACAGGTATTTTTGAGCACATACTCTGTGGCAGACAGGGAGAGAAGGGAGACAGGCAAGAAAGAGAAATATTTGGTAGATGGTGATCATTGCTAGCGAGAAAAGTAAAGCAGGGTAAGGGGATGCAGAGTGAGGAGTGGGTGCTATTTTGGATAGAGAGGTCAGGAAAGGCCTGTGATTAAGGAACAGACACCTTGGAAGGAAGAAAGGAGTGGACAGTGCAGATGTTTGGGGGAAGAGCGTCCCGGGCAGAGGGCGGCCTTGAGGCGGGGTTGTGATCATTGTGCTTGAGGAGAAGCAAGGGGGGGCGGGTGGTGTGCTTGGATGGGGCGGTCAGTGGAAGGAGGAGAGTGGTAACAGATGAGTGTGGGACCTTGCATGTTGTCCTGAGGACTTAGGATTTCATTCCAAGATGTGGAGCCATCGGGAGGTTTTAGGTGGAAGGGTGACATTACCTACTTAGCTTTTTAAAAACTGAAGAACAAGTGTACTGCCTTCTATAAATATTGGTGTTCCCACTGTGTGCCAGGCACACTGGAGAAGTTCCTGCCCTCAGCAAGCTTCCATGGGTGGGGGGGGTGGTTCCCCAGGAAATGGCTGTCACAGGGCAGTGGTTAGGAGCAGGCTCTGGGTTGGATTTCCTTGGATCGGATTACTGAGTAACTGAGTATTTTTCCCTCCTCTGTAAGTTGGGCTTAGTAAAAGCATTAAATGACAGGTAAATCAGATGGTGCAGTCCCCAGGCACTCAGCCAACCCTCAGGAAGTATAAACCACTGTCGCTGTTAATTGCATTAGGTTCCCCAATGGGGAATGTAGCGGGAGTGTTGGGAAAGCAGCGTGCATTGTGGAGCTGTTGGTCGGGTGTGATGGGAGCCCCAAGGAGAGGCGGACAGAGGGCGGTGCTTGTCGTGGGAGTAGGGGTGTGGTGGGCAGCAGCGAGGGTTATTTCCACTGCGGAGCCATAGTGGGCAATGACGAGGCCCAGGACAAGGGCAGTGGAGGACAGCCAGACAGAGGGCAAGGCACAGGAGAGGGTGGCTAGAGGCGCTGAGTGGGTTGGGAGAGGGCCAGGCCTGGCTGTTGGGGGCCTGAGCCTCTGGACCTCATTGATGATGGAGGGCAGCTGACAGACAATGTTGAGGGGAGTGGGCAGGCAGCTGGGTGGCACCAGCTCCAGGAGGTGGGGCCTCACCCAAGAGAGGTGGAGTGGCTTGGAAGTGGCCCTGAGCAGGGAGGAGCACCTCTCACAAGCTCTCCCTGATTAACTGTCCTATGATTTTCAAAAGCCACCTCGTCCCAGGTTTCCCCTGAAGGGACAGGGGGCGGGCTCAGGGCTCCCCTGTAGCAGGGCCTCCAGCCCTCTGGGCCAGGCCACCTAGGGCTGGACTTGGTTTCTGGGCTCACTCTCATTGGAAGCCATGGCAGCTTCTGCCGGTTGCAACAGGGGCTCAGTTGGTGACACTGCCAGAAGGGAATCCTAATTGCAGGGGCAAATTGGCCTTGATGCAAAGGCTCAGTGGTGAGCTCTCTTTCAGCTTGAGAAATCCAAGACTGGAGGGGCTGGTGGGTGGGAGAAACCACAGGGCCTTCTTGTGGGAGGCATCCAGAACCTGAGGCCACGTGAGCCCTGTGCCCCCTGGGCTGGGGCCTGATCAGCAGGGCATCAAGGGCTCACACCAAAGGCCTGAGGGTGTGGGGCCCAGTGTCAGGGTTGTGGATCTGAGGATAAAGGCAGCCTTGTCTGGGCAAGGCTCTGTAAATGGGGCCTGTGAGATGGATTTCTGCCACCGCTGGCAGCCTGCTGTTGTGCTTTTGGAGATGGCAGTGAGCTGGGAGCTCAGGGCAGGACAGGGCTGGGAATGGCTCCCAGAGGAGACGTCCTGCATGGGAGTGGAGGCTAGATGCTGAGGCAGGATTGGGCACTGCTCACAGGCTCCCTGGCTTGAGCTCATTCCTGTCCCTGGGGTCTGCTCTCCTCAGCCACCACTTCTCAGCAGCTCCCACCACCTGCTGGCCTGAGCTTGGATCTGTCACCACAGGGTCGGAGGCCCTCTGGGATCTGGCTACAGGCCGCCTTCCCCACTCTGTCTTTCTGGGCACCACCCTGCTTCCATCTCTCCTGGGGACCTCCCTTCCTGTCCACATCGAAACCTTTCTGGTAAACCCTTCTGGCTTTCCAGTGGCCCCAGCCCAGCCCTCTGGGGGCAGCATCCCCGCAGGCCTGTGCCACCCTGTCTCTGTATGGTCTACTGGTAGCCCTCAGGGCTGCCCCTGGCTCTCTTATGAGGCATCTCTGGAAGCACACTCAAGGGATCATGATCAGGAAAGAGTCACTTTCCTAAAGAGGAAAGTTTGTGCTCAGGAAGGTAGCACAAGATGGAGTGAATCTTGACAATGGCTATTTGTGACCTGCCCAGGACAGTTCATGCCAGTGTATGTGTCCTCACTGAGACATGGGACTGGTGATGGTTTCTGAAATTGAGGGCCGGGGGCTTCTGGGAGAGTCATGGGGTTGGCGCAGTGACTGTGGCCTCTGCAGGTGCAGGAGAACTCCCCGGCCCAGCAGGCGGGCCTGGAGCCCTACTTTGACTTCATCATCACCATTGGGCACTCGCGACTGGTAAGGCTCCCCCATCCTACCTCTGCTTTGCTTGTGTGTATGTGTCTCCTGTCCCATAGGAGGTCCCAGCCCTGCTCCTGCCTCCGTTTTCTTCTGGAGGGGGGCCCAGCCCTGTCTCCCCTTCTTCTAGGGCTATACTCAGTCTGATTGGGGCCCTGCCCAGAGCTCAGCTCCTGAGCCCTCTGGGGTGGACTGGAGGCAAATGGACTCTTGGAGCTGGCCACAAGGCCTGAGGGGCCTGCCTCTTGGGACATGAGAGGTGTGAGAGCTCTGGCCAAGGGGCACTTAGAGTGGGGCAGCCCTGCAGTGCTCTGGACCCAGGAGGCTCTTTGCTTACTTTGTTGTATTTTCTGGGGAGCTGAGGAAGGAAGGTTTAGCAGTGCTCAGGGGTGGTGGGGCTCTCGGTGGCTGCAGGCCCAGGCCTGGCCTGTGAACCTGGGCCCAGCCACTGCCCCGGCCCATCCCTGCACCAGGCCCTGCTGGGGCAGCTGGCCACCAAGGCCCTTGCCCCATCTCAGACCCAGACTTGTCTGAGGGGCCCAGCCCGGGTGCGGAGTGAGCCCCGCTGCCCCCGCAGAACAAGGAGAATGACACGCTGAAGGCCCTGCTGAAGGCCAATGTGGAGAAGCCCGTGAAGCTGGAGGTGTTCAGCATGAAGACCATGAAGGTGCGCGAGGTGGAGGTGGTGCCCAGCAACATGTGGGGCGGCCAGGGCCTGCTGGGCGCCAGTGTGCGCTTCTGCAGCTTCCGCAGGGCCAGCGAGCACGTGTGGCACGTCCTGGTGAGTGCTGGCAGGGCACATATGTGGGTGGGTGCAATGGGCCAGGTCTGCGGTGAGGGTGGGGCCAGAGCATGGGGATGGGTAGCTGGGGGATAGTGGTGGGGTGTCAGGGGCAACTGGGAGAGGCCGACAGCCATGGGTCTATTAGAGGACTCCCTGAGGACAGGTATCACTCACTCGTTTCCCAGAGAGGGCAGCTCATCATTACCTGAACGGTGTACCCTGCTTCTTGTGAGCCACGTGACTTGGGGCACTTTCTTAGTCTCTGTGCCGTGGTTTCTTGTGAAAGGTGGGATCCCATCTACTGGCAGGGTGGAGGTACAGCCAGCATGCGGCTGCTGTTGTCCGTCTTTATAGGTAGCAGGTTTTTGTATCGTCTCTAGTATACCAGGTCTTTATCGTGCTTTTTTCTGGCAGGCCCCTCGAGAACAGCCTTAGCACTGGGCTGGTGCCTTGGGTCTGAACCTTAATGAATCTCAGTGACTGAGTTGTCACAGACGTTGCTGTGTGTGTCTGTTCACAGACACATGTGCACATGTGACATGTACATTCGATGGTGCCCAAGTTCTCGAATACTTGGTCCTTTGACGTGGTGGAAGGTGGGGGCCCTGAGCTAGAAATCGGCTGTTTTGGTCTCTAGCATCCTCTGTGGCTCTCCTCTTGGGGGAGCCTTCACCGCCTGCCTCAGTTTATCCATGAGTGCCATGGGGGTGATCATACAGATCCCTTTGCATTCCGCAGGGAGGTTTTCATTCTTTACATATAGATTTTTTTAATCTTCTCAGCAACCCTATGAGTAAGTACTACACATCCTATTTTTAATTGTGGGAAAACTGAGGCTGAGGAGTTAAGTATTTGTCCACAGTCACCCAGCTAGCAGTTGGTGGAGCCAGGAGTTGAACCAGGTGGGAGTCCAGAGCTCAGTGCTGTGAGCCATGCTACAGTGCTGCCCTCTGCTGAGCGGGCTGTGGACCTGGGGGAGGGAGGGAAGTAGGGGGTGGGGTGGGAGAAGGGCTTGAGGCCCTGGCCTGGGGACAGAGGCCAAGTGTCCTACTCCCTACCTGGAGAAGCAGCTCCCCGCCCCTCTCCCTCTGCTGCAGCAAGGCCGATGGTTCGTGATTCTTTCCTCAGGACGTGGAACCCTCTTCGCCTGCCTTCCTTGCCGGCCTGCGCCCCTACACAGACTATGTGGTTGGCTCAGACCAGATCCTCCAGGAGGTGAGGAAGCCTTGGCTTGTGCCTCCCTTGGTCCCCTGGATGGGGGGCGGAGAGATGGGTGCTGTCCATAAGTGTCTCGTTTTGTTGAGGTTTCCAGCTCCAGTGCTGGGAGCAGGGCTCAGGTGCTGTGTGTTTGTCGTAGTCCGAGGACTTCTTTACGCTCATCGAGTCCCATGAGGGGAAGCCCTTGAAGCTGATGGTTTATAACTCTGAGTCCGACTCCTGCAGGGAGGTGACTGTTACTCCCAATGCAGCCTGGGGTGGAGAGGGCAGGTACTTCCTGGGGTCGAGGGTTGCAGGGTGGGGCTCTAGTGGGGCCCTGGGTGGGCCTGGCCAGTGGGCATGGACCTCCAGAGTCCCATGGTGGGGGTGGAGGGCTGGGCCCTGGGCCCAGGGATCCTGACGCTGACCATTGGTCCAGGGGGCACCCTTTCAGCACCCTCACTGCCAATAGTGGGTGGGGGTGGCAAAGATAGGAAGGGCTGTGGGACAACCCCTGGATTGAATGTTTCTGGCCTTTGGCAGTCTGGGGTGTGGCATTGGCTATGGGTATCTGCACCGGATCCCAACCCAGCCCCCCAGCCACCACAAGAAGCCGCCTGGTGCCCCACCACCTGCTACCCCACCACCTGGTGCCCCGCCACCTGGACCCACCCCCCAGGACACTCCAGCCCCTCCCAGCCCAGACATGGGCTCCAGGCAGAGTGACTACATGGAGGTACGTGGGGAGCACTTGCCGGCGGGTGGAAGAGGGGAGCTTCATGTGGCAGCAGGGCCTCTTAGCTGGGAAGAGAGGACTCTGGAGGCGACCCTCACCAGGGCTGTCTGTGGAGCCTTGGGAGGCCCATCTGCCTCTGGGACTCAGACACTGTCCTGGGACAGTGAAACCCACTTTGGTTCTCCTGCCACTTGGGTCTGGAGGTGAGGGTAGTGGCGAGCCAGTAGTTGTCATTTTCATTTCATGAGTGAGAAACTTGTTCTGTGCCTCAATGAGTGTGTGGTAAAGTTGGGCCAGGGCTGGTTCTCTGGCCAACTCTACAGGGGAGCATTGGCCCTGCCTTCATGGTGGTTGGGCAGGTCCCTTGAGTGCCTTTGGGCCCTGGGCTGGCGCCTGGGATCTGCACCAGGGGGCACTCAAGGATTGCTCTCCAGGCATGCCAGAATTCAAGGAAGGCCCTCTCTTCTTGTGGGTCATTGATGGGAACCAGCCAGGTGGATGCCTAGGGCTCCTCAGCAGAGTGGGAAGTGTGCTGCCTCTCCATGTGGGCACCACAGAGGAAGCCAGCCAGGCCCCTGTGGCCTGACTTCACATCCCCTTCAGAGGAAGGGTCAGATCACCAAGGCTGTTCGCTCCTTCAGGCAGAGCAGTGCTCCCTCCCGGGGCAAGCATGGACTCGGGGTTAGGTTGGACTATACCGTTCCCTCTTCTTTCCTGGCTCCCCTAGGCCCTGCTGCAGGCACCTGACTCCTCCATGGAGAGACGGCTTCCTGAGCTCGGGCTTCTCAGCCATGGTGCTCCAGACCTTGGCGATCTTCCACGTTCCTTGGAGATTCCTCTTCAGCCTCCACCTCCAGTGCAGCGAGTCATGGACCCAGGTACTGAGCTGGCCTGGAGAGCAGGCTGAGGAATGTGCAACTTCTGGTGCTCAAGTGGGTCCCGGGCACAGGGCTGGACTTTGGCCATAGTGCCGAAACCTTCCTCAGACCCGCTGACCCCTCCTGTCTCACATACGCTGAGATGGTTACAGATGATCTGATCCAGTGTACAGATGGGAGACTGCAATTGAGAGAAGAAAGGTGGCCTCCTCAAGGTCACACAGCACATTGGGGACAGAGCAGGGTCTGGGCCCTCTGCTGCTGAGCTACTCTCATGAGGCCCAATCCCAGACCCCTTCTTTCCTCGGAATCGGGCAGTGGGGAGCCTTTCTGTGGTTGGGTGGGGGAATCACCATGGGCTGAGGAGATTACAGTCTCCAACTGGGCCAGATGCCCCAGGAACTGGGCAGAAATGAGCGCAGGGTACTGGCATTCCAGCATTCAGGATTTTGTGCTGGCAAAGAACTGCGCTCCTTCCCCTAGGCTTCCTGGACGTGTCGGGCATCTCTCTCTTGGACAGCAGCAATGCCAGTGTCTGGCCCAGCCTGCCCTCATCCACAGAGCTGACCTCCACAGCTGTCTCAGCCTCAGGAACAGAGGATGTCTGCTCCAGCAGCGGTTCTCATGAGCGTGGAGGTGAGTAGCTGGCACCTTCTGAAGCCTCTGGGAAGGACCCTGGGCTGTGGGGAAGGTTTCCCTGAGCTTCTCGGCCAGGTGAGAGGCTAGTCTTTGGGTGGTATACAACCACATCAATGCATTTGTACACTGGATCTCCTATCCGCACAACAATGCCTGGGGTGGGAGTTGGGGGTCAATGGGGTTATTGCTCCAGGCCACACTGGCCCCAGGTTCTGCAGTCTTCCTCAGCCCCACCCTCTCTGTTTCAGGTGAGGCCACATGGTCTGGGTCAGAGTTTGAGGTCTCCTTCCCGGACAGTCCAGGTGCTCAGGCCCAGCCAGACCACCTGCCTCAGCTGACCCTTCCCGACAGCCTCACCTGTGCATCCTCACCAGAAGATGGGCTGTCTGCCGAGCTGCTCGAAGCTCAGGCTGAGGAGGAGCCAGCAAGCACAGAGCACCCAGATTCCGAGGTGGAGGCCGAGGGGGCAGCCAGTGAGGGCCAGCTTTCTACCCCAGAATAATGCCCTGGACTGTGACAAGGCCCCTGATGGCATTTCACGAGGCCCAGATGTGGGGAGGCAGCTCAGGCCACACTGTGCATCCCAGCCCCTTGCCTGATCATAGCCCACTGTATTCAGCCTCCTAGGCTGTGGCTCTGGGTGATGTGCAGGGACTTCTGGCAGGGAGCTTTTGTGTCCACTCAGACCCCCCCGATCCTAGTCTCCAAGAGATGACCTCCCTGCATGAATCCTGCCTGATGGTCCTGGCTTTAGGGAACTGGGCACTGTTTGGGGTGGTAAAGGGCTGGGAGCAGCACCCCTGGTTAAGTAAGTTTTACAGGAGCTGGGATAGGAAAGGATTCTCTGCTGCTTGGCTGGGGCAGGAAGCCTCAGTGGGTAGTACAAGGAGGCTGTGGGCCTTGGGGAAGGGCATCTTTTGGCCATGCACCCCTGAGTCCAGTGCTTACTCTTGCTTTGGTCGCTGTGGCTGCCCAAGAGGCTGCAGGGTCCAGACACCATCAGATGTGAAGATGGGGTGAGGGAGGAAGGGGTTGGTGTAGAGCATTTGCCTGACTGCCTTGTAGGGCTTGCCTTCATTTTTGCTACACAGCTCAGGCAGCCCTATCTGTACTGGAAGGCCCTGGGGACCCCTGAAGCCCCAATAATAGTCTCTTCCATCACGTACCCTCATCCCTATGTCACACTGCACAGTTGGCTCAGGCTGGCCAACGTATGCCAGTCACCGTTGGAGAAGAGAGGCAGCGAACTTGACCACCTCTCCTGGGGCAGGCAGGTGGGGGCTGAAAATTCTAGGCTCTTCAGCAGAGACTCACTTGTGCTTGGACCACAAGGTTTCTTCTTCCTCAGGGTCCACACCCCACAGACCTAGTATCCCCAGTAGTGACTCCTGTCAGCTCCAAAACTTATAGAACTGTATCTTCTAAATATACAAGGCATCCTGCCAGACTGAATGGTGAATACAAGTTACAAATTTAAGTTCACCATCCTAAGCAGACTCTCAAAGTTGGTCCCCTGATGGGATCTCTTTACACACAGCCCCAACTCCAAGGGGGATGAGGAGTCTGTTCCCCTCACCCCCAGGTGCCTTGGGAGGCGGCGGGTCTTCTGCTTTGTGCAGTTCCTGCAGAAAAGGGAGGGCTCCATCCAGGGGCGGCCCCTCATCACCTGAAGTCCTCTTCTGACTTGGTTGGAGTCCCGCACCTTCCCACACTCATTGCTGATTACCATGAAAGCTGCCCCTGGCCTTGTCTTCTAGCCTCTTCCCAGTTCAAAGTCCTGCCTTTACAGATTGATTCATAATGTCTGCACTTAAAAGGAATTCACAGAGGTCTGCTGGCCCACAGGACAAGGACTGTCAGCTCGGGGCAGGGGGAGACGGGGGCACAAACCAAGTACATGGAGGGAAGGCCCCAAATTAGTAAACACTTAATTTTTCTAGCACTGTGACTGCATTTAAAACAAGCCCTTGTCAAGCCTACTGGAATAGCTGATAAGCCTGCAGAACAAGGAGGCACTGTGTCCAAAGCCAGTGCTGGAGCTGGTTCCTGGACTGTCTGGGAGCCCAAAGTGCTTGCAGGAATCCAAGAAGTGGGAGAGCATCGCCACGGGGCTGTTCTGAGGCCAGCTTCCCTTAACTGCAACCTGGCCATCTGACCCGAAGGCACGCTTAGCCACGGTTCTGGTTCTTCCCTCCCTCATTTTCACACTTTCCCCTCCCTAAATTGGGGGACAAAAGGAGTATCAATGCTAATTATTTCCAGGATAAACATGAAACCAGAAGTTTCTTAGTTTCGCTGTAATTTGCTATGAAGGAAAATGACAAGTGAAAAAAATAAATGTGTACTAAGAAATATTTTAACTAAAGCCTTTATTCTATACAACTGTGAAATACAGATTTTTACCCTTTTGGCATTGCAGACTGTCAAATTTTCTGGAAACTAATACTGGTTTGACTGGAAGAAAAAAAGTACAACCATGCTGGGGGTCAGATCTATGACAGGAAGGGAGCACAGCCGCCCCTCGAGGCTCAGTGCACAGGGCAGTGGCCCAGCAAACCCCTTCCTTCGGCCCAAGGGCCCCTCATGCAAACAACTGAGGGCTGGTAAATGAGTTCTTTTTTTTTTTTTTTTGCCATTAATTCACGACTATTGCTAAAAAATGTGCACCAAAAGTGCACTGTTGTATCCAACAGATAGAAAGGGTTTTTAAAAAAAGCAGCCGGGTGCTCTCTGCTTAAGGGAGAAAGACTCAGTGGAAACGTGGCATGTCTTTGCTCACTTCGTCAAAGAGCTGGAGGCAAGGACCTGTCCACTTTCCAGAGGAGGCCGACCAGCAAGGGGGGAGCCCTGTCTCTACAGTTGTGCGGATCAGAGTATCGCAAATAGGAAGGGCTGGGCCCAGGCCCATCAGCTGCCTCCAGCTGAACCTGTGAAGATGTAGAAAAGGAAAACCATTCCCACCCCCTCCCCAGTCCATGCTGTTGCGGGGCCAGGCCACACACAAGCTGGGGAGGGAACTGGACTGGAATGAACTGCCCTGTGAAGGCACTTGTGCTTCTGGCTTCATACAGGAGGCTTGTCTTGTATAGTTTTATGGGGGTGGACCATTGATCTAATTCTGAATACAAATGACCCTGGGGAGAATCCAAAGTATTTTTTTCTGCCAAAAGTTGAAGTGTTTATCCCCAATAAGTTATATTCTGTACAAGATCCAAATGATTCTATGAAAGCTTTAGAGTTTTAGAAAGAATAGTGAAAAGAAATCTGGATACAAGTACAACAAAAACCTGCTTATATAAAACTCTGGAAAAACAAATATGTATACTTCTAGGATATGAATGTCAAATTAACTCACTATAATGTCCTTTCACTTTTGACACCATAAATTTTAGGTAGCATTGAAATGATGTTAAAATTTCATCATGGACTTAAGTTTTGACAGTGTCATGCTGCTCACTCAGAGTAAGAACCTGTGGTGTCATCTGGCTTTGCTTGTAAATAAAACTGGACACAGCGGAGGAGGGACTGAAACAGCTGCACCTCCCTGTGACTGCTACACAGGCAGGGACACTGAGGGGGGGGCGGCATCACTGGGCACCGGCTGGGCGTATTCTAGTCTGGCGTCCAAGTGCTATGATCCAGCACCTGGATCAATTTCAGAAGATCTTCCTAAAAGAACACATCTGAGATGCAATATTAAAAACAAGCCCAACAATAATCATTTATTATGAAATGGGCTGGCTCTCAAATTGTGCAACAGCAAATTCCTATTAAAAATAACTGTCTTAAATGGTGAAAACAATTTGTTTGTTTTTAATGACAAACTTGGAAAAAGCCTTCATAGGTACTGCATGAATGGAATGTACTCTCTTAGAAAAGCTATAGAGAGTGGGTTTGAAGTTGAAACACAGTGACAGATGTGGCCCTACCAATGTATCTCTAACAAGTGCTAACAAAGATAAGGTCCTTTGAAACAAAAGGAGGAAGCAAAGTCTGCACTGGCCTGTCGTCAGTTCTCTGTACATCTCACAAGACACAGTCTGCTCGGGGGCTTTTCTGCTCTCACATCCTGCCTCCCTGGGGACAGCTTACTCTACACATGGAGACTGGTTTCTATATTACATCTCAATTAGTCACTTCAATTGAAAGAGAATCTCGGTCCACACCAAATTGGCCGTTAGAAGTCTTGCTCCCGTTGGGGCTCAGTGGGCTTCCTAGGACTACTCGTGGGGCCATAGAGGAAGGTCAGTAAATGAATAGCCAGGAGCATTTGCCCAACCTTCACGTGGACTTCTGACGGTAATGGAGGGTGAGGTCACCACCGCTCTTCCATATGAAGTGTTTCACTGTTCGAAGGTCCATATTTGGATCCAAAACCTGAATAGCAAAAAATAATACAAAATGTCAAAGCCTCTAATATTTAAGACCTTTCTTGTTAACTCAGGGACTCTCATCAGGTGGTCCAGCTTATCCTCTCCTTGCCCACACCTGGTGGCCTGCTGTTGCTGACATAGCTGCCATGCATACAGGCACAAACCTGGGCACAGTGAGGTGTGCAGCCTGTGTGGCTAGGCCAGAAACACCATCTTCAGCCATTCCTCTGAAGAAATGTCATGAGTGCATCTTTATTTGAAACAGCTCCACCCAACTCCACCTCAAAGCTTAAACTAACATGGGAGATGCTCCTCTGCAAATTAAGATGATCATGTGTCTTTTTCTTCTCAGAAAAAAAGCTGCCAGCACATCCACATTTGTTTGTGTGTGTATTTAAATCTCCGTGCTCCTTTCCTGAAAACCTCCGCAGGGGTAAATGGAAGCTTTGGGATGGACTGAAGAGTCCCTCCAGAAGGGGCCTCACAGATAGGTGGGAGAAACCCAGCGCTCCTTGGAGTCCTTCTAAAAGCTGAAGCCCCCCAAAGGCAACAGACTTGAGAATCATAATAACACCCTGTTATGTAACCCTATCTTAGCACCAGCACTGGAAAAAATGAGGCTGTGGTTCTCAAGTCCACTTACCTGGTCCTGGCACAAAAGTTCGATTTTCTCCTCTGCCAAAACAGCAATATCCTCTTCTTTTTCCTGTTCTCCTGGTTTTTCATTATTAGAAGAGCTAGTGGTTTGAGACTCATTATCCAAGTTGATGATTTTCTCATAAACATGTTCCATTACTTTCCGGACTTGGAGCATGTCACTAGCAGAGAGTCTATCTCTATAAAAAGCAAGGGCAGATTGTGACATCAGGAATCACTGGATATTATCTGTTCCAAATTCTTTGGTGTTTACATTTGATAAAGATAAAACATACCACAGAAACATAAACCAATAAATGCTTTTAGTCATTGCCTTAATCCATTTTTAGAACTGCCAACAGATTTTCTCTAGTGTCCTCCTAAGACCCAGATTATGTGCAGCTAAGTGAGATTAAATACATGTTCTTAAAACTTACATATACATAAAGAATAGCCTTCTGGGTTTTATTCCCTTAAAGACTTTCCCAGAGCATGGGCTCCTGGAAGGGAAGGCAGCCCCAGTACTTACCAGGCTCCGATGATCTTGGTGCTCATCTGTCGCAGGGCTTTCCTGCCTGCAGCCAAGACCTCAAGTCTCAACCTCCTGCCTGAACTCCAGGCCCACAAACCTGACAGCCAGCTGGGTATCTGCAGCAGAATATCCCACAGGCCCCTCAAACTCTACATGTCCAGAACTAGATTCATCACCTTCCTCACCCCTAAACCTACTTCTCCTGCATCTCTGACATCAGTTAATAATGGTCAAACCAAGGAGCCCAGGTTCAAACTCTGAAAGCCATCTTGAACTTCAGCCATTAAATCTAGTTGAAGTGATATAGGACTTTCTTTAAAATAATCTTGTGTGTGTGTGTGTAGGTAGGTGGGTGGGAGGGCAGGTAGAAGTTTAGATGAAACAGAATCTTTAGCCACGTGTTGATAATTACTGAAGCTGTTTGTTAAGACAATGGGAGTTCATTCTCCTCTTCTCTTTTTTGTATATGTTTAGAAATTTCCCTAACAAAATGTTTTAAAGTGTTGATTTTACATGGTAGGATATACATCAATGAAACTTCAAATTTCCTTTCTGACTTCCCTCCTAGTATCTTCCCGCCACCCCTCCATCCTATGCTGCAGCTACATTGGTCCTCGCTAATTTTCAGTATCTTGTGCACGCTCCCACTTCTAAATCCCTGATGATTTCGTGGACCTGGAATATCTCTCTTTTGAAGTTCTATCCATCCTTACATGCCCACCTGAAATTTCATGTCCTTCAAGAAGCCTTTCTGGAAAGCTCCAGCCACAAATTCTTTTCTTTCCCCTACTCTTGTTCCCTAAGTATCCATAAAAGCAGTTATTATACACAGATTGTGTCCTAAACTATGAATTATGGCAAGAGACAAAATCTATTATTTTTAGATTATTTATGAACATCACTTATTTTTTTAACATCTGCAGACTACCACAGTAGGTACTTGGAAAATGGTTACATTGTATAAACTTTCAATATTATAAAACTAGCTTAGATCTAGTACTAGCTTTCTTTACTATAAAAGCAATCATAAGGAATAAAAATATCTCTGGTAATTAATTAGATCAAGTCATCACATGACAATACATTTACTTACTTTTTTAAGGTTTTTGCTCCTGAAGATGCATGAGGTTGGAGGTAGAAAGGAATTTTGTTGAATTTGGGCATATTTTTCTGAAATAGTAAAAGTAAAAAAAAGATATAATAGTTTCTGTTAGCTGACAGGCTAAAGTGAAGTCAACAGGAAAACATGATTTACAAGTTAACAGTTATTTTACAATTAAAAGTGACTTTCTATGAAATTTATAGTAAGCCATCAAGTTATCTAAGTCAGCCTTAAGAGAAAATATATCAGAAAGTGTAACATTTTGTTTTATAATAAAGGATACATAAAGACAAATCACACATTATGTCAGTGGCAATATGAAACCACAGCATGGCTCTTCTCAAATACCAATTCAAGGTACTACAGGGAAAGAAACTTTATTTTAATTCTTTAAGCCATACAAACCAAAATCTCAATTCCATGTTAAAGCATTGGGGCTGATATCTAAAGGCCCAAACAAAAAATTTAAGTGTCTTGAGAGAAACCCACAACATTCACGTTTGAGCAAAACTATACACTCTATGCTGTTGAGGCATATCATCAACTGAAGAGGCCAATCAGCTCCTCTCTCTCCCCTTCCCTCTGACATGAGAGTGAGGTCTGAAGTTTTAAGCAAGAGTGGAAATGTCAGCCAAGCACCTACATGTCTACCACGAAGTAAACCACATACTTAGATGAAAGATAAAATTAACTGGTCATCTTTTCTCTAGG